TGCATGTGTATATATGTGTGTGTCTGTATATCTTCAATATTACATGAGTGTGTGTATATATGCACATAAATATATATATATATACACTTTTCATACTGGTATGAGTTATTGAGTGGAAATGCTGAGTTAAAGGGATATATATCTTTACATATGTGTATAAACATATATCTGTATATATAAAAATACAAATATCATAAACACAAATACATGCATAGCATATATCTCTTTCCATACATATATATATATATATACACACAGTACATGTATGGTATATATATTTCCACGCATATATTTATGTATGTGTATCTTTGCATACTTATATGAGCTATAGGAGAGGAATTGCTAAGTGAAAGGGACACATATGCATGTTCAATTTTTATAAATACTCTAAAGTTGCCTTCCAAAACAATCACACCAAATTACAATAGTGTGTGTGATTGTTTCCTGACGACTTTACCAACATTATCGCTCCTTTTTTAATTTTTGCCACACCCATAGATATGTCATTGTTTCTGTTACCTTTCTTTACTAATGAGTAAAACTGAGTATCTTTTCATATATTTTTCTGACCATTTGTATATGCTCTACTATAAGCTACCCGTTGTATTCTTTGCTCATATTTCTACTGGTTTACCTTTTTGTTCATATATGTATTTATATATTTTAAAAGTTAATCTTTTGTTGTATGTTCAAACGATAGTTTTAAAATCTTGCTTATGGTGACTTTTGTCTTATACTTTTGGGGTTTTCAGCTTGAACATGTGCAGTATTATGGAAGTTTCTCATGGAATTCTGATCATCAAGAGTTACCTGAGAGAAGAAACTAATATCCTGGACATTATGGGAGTGGGGGGACAGTGGCACAAAGCAAGTAAAATATCCTCTTCTATCTCTGCCTGTGGGATGAATTTGCTGATCCAAAATAGAAAATAATTTTCCTCCATTAAAAAGCCAAGAGCTCACTTTGGCTGTGAACATAACTGCTCTTTAAAAAAAAAAAAGTATATTTTGGGGGGCGCCTGGGTGGCTCAGTCATTAAGCGTCTGCCTTCAGCTCAGGTCATGATCCCAGGGTCCTGGAATCGAGCCCCACATCGGGCTCCCTGCTCAGCCAGGAGCCTGCTTCTCCCTCTCCCACTCCCCCTGCTTATGTTCCCTTTCTTGCTGTGTCTTTCTCTGTCAAATAAATAAATAACATCTTTAAAAAAAAATCTAAGAGAGATCTATGCCTTAAAACTTATGAGTAAAAAAAAAAACTAAGATCTAAGAGATCAATTTTTTAGGCCAAAGGAAAAGAGCAAAGAAAAGAAATCACATTCAGTGATTCTCTAATTGCACAAATGACCCACTGATGGCTCATTCCCTATTGACTCCATCCTTTAGTACGACAAAAAGAGCACAAGGCTTATAGTCCAAAAACCTTCTTGATGATTCCAGCCCTAGCACTTGCTGGTCATAGACTGTCCAAGACTTGAGCCCCTGTGGCTTCAGGTTTCTCACCCGTAAAATAGAAGCAGTTATCCCAAATTCAAAGGGCCACTGTACAATACAATGAGTAATACAAGTAAAAGGGTGTACACATACTAATGCTCAGTCCTTGATCCTACATTTTTTGAAGAGCACACAGCCAAAAGTCATTTGGAATTCCAAAAGTCTTTGTAATGCCACAAATTGGTTGTTTTGCTAAAGATTCATCTACATAATTGTATTTTGCTTAGTCTACTATTAAAATTGCATAGAATTCCCCTGCATGCCACAACTTACAAAACACAGGTATTGGGCAGCAGGGGAAAACCAAGATGGAATTTAAGTTTAAATTTTGAAACTTATATTCATTGAACACAGAGCTTATTGTATAATGACCTTAATGCTCTTACTCAAATGGCATTCCTCTGAAGTGGGCAACTTCCCTTATCCCCCCGAACAAGTCTGGGTGAAGATGAAAGGGCTACAGGTTAGGTTGTATGGGCCCAATCAATACAGACAGATTCCTGAATTTAAACTTGTCTGGAAAACTGAGAAAACTCAGCAGACCCCAGACATAATGGGATAATATGATATTTAATATTAGGTGTCACCTTGCCTAGGGTACAGTACCAGCTGTTTTGTCAAATACCAGTCAAGATGTTGCTGGGAAGGTACTTTTCAGTATAATTAACATTTAAATCCATAGACTTTGAATAAAACAGATTACCCTCCATAATGTGTGCAGAACTCACCAAGGCCTTAAGTGAAAAGACAGTTTTTCCAAAGAAGCAATTCTTTCTCCAGGCTGCTTGACTCAAAACTGCAGCATCAGCTCCTCCCTGGGTCTCCAGCCTCAACTATCTGTCTTGCAGATTTCAGACTTGCCAGCCCCTATAATCAGATAAGCTAGTTCCTTAGAATAAATCATACACACAGGCACACGCACACCCATCCTATTGGCTCTGTTTCTTTGGAAACAGAATTTCTCTGGAAATTTTATATAAAAATTTTCCAATTTTTCTCTGGAAACTAATAATTTCAGGAGATGTGCAACACACGTATTCTTCCATGGTTTACTGCCACAGCTAATCGCCTGCCTGGAAACCCTCACTCTTCCACTTCTCCAGGTTCCTTCAATAATACCATGCTGGAATCGGGCAGCTCCCTTTTTCCTCCAGGATGCTTTCTCTGAACTACCCACCCCCTAAAGTGCCCCTCCTCTGGGCCATAAAATGAAATCCCCTCATTATAATTGTGTGTATTTTTACTAATCCATCCCCTCTATGAAGTTTTTTTGGGAGGTGCGGGGGGAAGAGGGTCATGGTGTAATGCAAGAGAGCAGGATCTGCCTCCCATGGAGTTTACAGACTACTGTAAGAGACAAACCACAAACAAGTAAACAATTACATAGGAAAAATTTGTTCGCTAAATTCTATACTGAAAGGGGAAAAAAAAAAAAAAAAAAAAACAACCCACCATGGTGATAAGATGCGGCCTGAAAGAGGGAGAGTCTCTGAGCAGGGAAACTTGAGAAGCATCTGAAGGAGAAAGAGCTGGCCTATGAAGACCGAGAAAGGGGATTCACTCTGGACGGAGGGGTGGCAAGTAGCCCCAGGAGGGAACACGGTGTTCGGGAAATTCTGAGTGAATCCCACAGGAGAAGCGCGTTTGTGAAGATCTAGATATTTAGAGTAGCTATTTAAGACTGGTACATAAGTCTCACTTCATGCCACCGGCCTGGTCCGCGGCTAAGTCGTGCGATGAGGGTAGGGATGGAGAACCGGCAGAAGCCTGCCGCCAGACCTGGCCTCTCGGTAGTGTACGGTGGCTTGGGCAACGCAAACCTCACTGTCTCCACGTACCGCGGAGCTTGGCACCTGATGTATAAGGCCCCGTCGGCTCTCATGCTGAGGGTCCTCTTCCGCAGCTAAACCACCAGGCCCGGGCACAAGTAGAAGCCACAGCGCGGCGGGCCACCTTTAAGGTTCCGCGAAGGCTGGGCCTAGCTAGTTCCACATCCTCTGCCCTACGGCCGGCCCAGGCCGCGCGTGCACCCGGCGAGGCTCTAGATCGATCGCGACTGACTGCAGGCGGGGGAGGTTGGGGCACCGGGTCAGCGCCGCCGGCCGGAAAGCGGCGTCCTGGGCTCGACTCCCCGCCTCCGTGGAGCCAGCGAGCCCGCGTCCGAGCTCCATCCAGCCCCGCAGCCGGGGACCTGCCAGGCTGCGCTCTGGGAACTGAGCTCCTTGTCCTCAGGCCGCCCCTGTATCCTCGACTCACCCCTCCTTTATGCCGCTGCTTCCTTTCCTTCCCCCGCTTTTCCTGTGCTGAGTGGATCGCAGCGGGGAAGGGGGAGGAGGAGGGAGGATGGCCGAGCAATAAAGAATCAGTGGTGTGGAAGAGAAGAGGGGCAGGAGGAGGAAGGGAGGACCGGGGAGAGCGACCACGCGGAGGAGTCCGGCGGCGAAAGCGAAGGGTGTCGGAGCGCCGGGAGGGTGAAGGAGGAGGAGGGCTACCGGCCGGGAATCAGGCTGCCGCGGGGAAACCGGGAAAAGCGGGGAGCAGCCCATGGGGGAGGGGAGTGCCGCGGGCGGAGGAAAGAGGAAGAAGCGTTCAGATGTTGCGCTGCTTCTCCGAGGTTAAAACCGAAAATAAAAACTGCCCGGCTTCTCCGCCCAGCCCCGCGCCCTCGGCGACGCGGGGTGCAGAGAGTGGAAGAGGTGCCCCCGACCCAGCAGGGACCCCGGGATTGGGGTTCGGCTCCACCTACCTGGTGGGGCTCCCGGCCCGCCGCTGCGGCGGCGCCAGCGCCACTCAGTGTCCAGATGTCGCGTCGGCTGCAGGCAGCGGTTTCCTTTAATTTCGCTCGTTTCCCAAATCTAGCAGTGGAGCTTAGCGCCATTTCTTTCAAAACCGACATCCAGCCTCCTGAATGGCTGATGCAGCGCTGTGATGGCCTTGCTTTTCCTTTCTTTTTCTCTTTTAAATAATCCGGTTTGGAGCGATGGAAGACCCTTAGCGAGTGGCGCGAGGAATAAAAGAAGGGGGGTTGGGGAACCCGGGCGCGAGCAGGACTGGAAGCCGCCGCAACGCGGTGGTTCCTGCTTACGGCCGTGTCAGGTGACAAATGTTGCGAGGGGGCGGGGGCCTGGAGATGCGTTCTGGCGACAGGCCCTTGAGCTGTCACCGCGTGGGGCGCCGGCGCGGAGGGTGGGAAGGTGGGGGAGAGCGCGGATCGGGCGGGAAAGAGGAGGCGGGGGGAGGGAGGGGAACCTTGGGTGCTTGCCGCCCGCGCGCGCGCAGCCCTCGGGCTTCACCGCCGGCCTTTCCCGCGCGCGCGGGGCGCAGAACGGTTCTGAGATCGGGGGGAGGTCGGGGGGCGCGCGAGCGCGCGCAGAGAACGCGGGGGCGCGCCTGCGGGGCGGGGATGGGCGGGGGGCGGTGCGTGGGTCCCAGTCGGCGATCGGGGGGCGGGCGCGGCGCTGCCTACCTCTGATGCCAAAAGGCGGCGCAGCGGTCGCGGAGCACAGAGGAGGTGGCGGCGGCGAGAGTATGGTGCGCGCGTTTTTGATCACAGTGCGGATTCGGCGCGCTGGTGGCCCGCCGCGAGTGAGGGCTTTTGTGGTGCGGATCACGCGGCCCGCGGGTGAGTGGGCAGAGCCGGGTGTGCGGGCCGCTGCGGCCCTGGTGTTAAAGCTAGTGAGGAGCCGTCGCAGACCGCAGCAGCCGCATCCTAGAGGAGCAGGTAAGAAAGGCCTCGAAAAGTCCCGGGCGCAGTCCGGCCCTTGGAAGATTTTGTTTGGTATGATTTAATACAGATAAACAATCTTCCGGACCAGGATAGGAGGAGGAGGTTTCTAGGGGTGGAAGCTCTCTTCCCTCTCCCCATTCGGGTTACAGTTACTTAGAGGTGCGGTGCTCCCAATATCTTGAGCCCAGAGCCCCCTTCACACACCTCCTCAGTCCCGTGAAACTCCGGGGAGAAGCGGGAGATTCTAACCCACCTTAGAAGTCAGTCACTCCTGAGTTTCCTGGGTAGGAGTCAGTAAATACACACACACACACACACACACACACACACACCCCACATACCACATAACACACACACCCCACATAGCACACAACACACACACACACACACACACAGTGTAGGTGTATTTCTAGGGCACTTTATTTCGCCCTGGAGGAAAGTATTACTAACGGTCTTGGTTTTATGGGGGCCACCTGTTTTCTCCCCTGCCAGGTCAACCCTCTCTGTAGGTGGAGGGTGTTCCAGGGTGGGTGCTCACACATGGTTTGGCTTCCCGAAATAGTAACACTGGTCGAAGGAGCAAACACTTGCTTCTGCGGGTCAGAAGAGTTGGGTTTTGGTAATAAGATGGAGATCTCATATTTGGAGCCCTAACAGATTCAAACTGCTCGGGATGATGCTTGGCAAAATGTTTAGCAAAAAACAGACTACAGTGGTGAGTCTGAGAAATCACAACGGATCATATTTTAATCATCTCAGGCCACAATTAACACTTTCTAAAAAATGAGGCCTACTTGAAAAACAAAATCCTAGGTAGTTTTGTCCTCACATCAGACAAATCTTTACTCGGTGTAATTTCCTATGACCAGAATAATTGAAAATATATATTGCTACAATATGCAGAATCCTAGTTAGAATTTGGATATAAATCTAAAAGCAATTTCATGAAGCTTCATTTTTGTGACCTTACTTCGGGCATCCATTTTCCCCAGGTATAGATGTTTTGAAAAAGCAAAGGCCAGGGGAAGGGGAATTATTTTTTTATTGTAACGTTAATAGGCCTTTGTCATGTAAATGTAAACTGTTAAAACTACGGGTGTTTAGTTAGGTGCCTCAATTTACAAAAATTTACAAGCAGGGGCGCCTGGCTTGCTCAGTCCGTAGAGCCGACAACTCTTGATCTCGTGGTTGTAAGTTCGAGCCCGTTTGTGTAGAGATTACTTAAAAATAAAATCTTTTTAAAAATTTACAAACAACTTATAGGGTAAATACACATTTTCTTTTTCATATTATTATGAAAGTTCCGTTTTTTAAAAGAATTAGTAAGAGCTTGTAAAGGATTTCATGCTATGTTGCTGGACTTAACTTCAGTTCATTTTAAACATTAACAAGACCCTGTGTGTTTGTTTGTTTCTTTTATGGTGCTTTATTCTGACCAGCAAATGTTTAGCCACCACATGTTTTTGAATATCAGAGTTGTTACTATTACTCTCTACTTAAAGCTATTTTACTTAAAGTATTAGGTTGCTTCTGGAAATCTCTAATAACAAAGTAGAAAATTTTAATCTATGTAAATATAATTATGTGTTTTCTATTTTAGGACTACACAATGTAATTACTTTAAGTTAGATACAGTGTTTTTATATTTTTATGAAATGTTAAAAATATAAAAATAATAGGCTCATGGAAAGAGGCATTTATTTTTTGTTACTTAAGTATAAATCAATTTTCAGGACTAATATGTAAAGTTATTTAAAAATGTATTGACTAGGGGCGCCTGGGTGGCTCAGTCGGTTAAGCAGCTGCCTTGGGCTCAGGTCATGATCCTGGGGTCCTGGGATCGAGCCCCACGTCCGGCTCCCTGCTCAGCGGAGAGCCTGCTTCTCCCCTCGCCCTCTGCCTGCCACTCTGCCTACTTGTGCTCTCTCTATCTCTCTGTCAAATAAATAAATAAATAAAATCTTTTAAAAAAATGTATTGACTATTTGAAAAGCCCAATTTTTAGTAAATATCTGGCCCAATTTTTAGTAAATATCTGGAGACAGGACACACAACTTAGGTAGAATAGACTATGTCTTAAAAAGTTGTGCAATTATCCTTTATTTGTGAAATTATACATATGTCCATATGTGACATATGGAAGTATTAATTATAAGTGATGTTTGATTATATATTTCACATAAATATATATTATGCCTATGGTTATACTGACTTAAGAATATATAGAATGGTAATTATATTGGGACTCATTCAATTTCTTAACCACAATGCTAAAAAATTATTTGTATGAATTACTTAATATTAATACAAATATATAAGATGTAATTATTTTTTATTTTTAAGGTTTCTGCAACTATGTGCATTATGACTTTTTATTTTTATATGACTGGAAAATGTATATAATAAAATTCCATGTTACTAGTTTCTTTTTCACACATGCCTGATGAATTACATTAATTGATTTGTTACTTCTACCTTGGTGTGTTTACAAAACAGTTGTATTTTTATGACATGAAGTATTTATTTGTTTCCTCCTATTTGGGAACCCTTAGGGTTTTTTTATCACCTTTAACAGCATAGCGTTCTCTCAAGGTAAGCACTGTACGTTAGCATAAACCATTATTCCCAACGTGTACATGATCCCCAGGTTGTATTATGTTCTACAGAAACAGTGACACTTTCACTAACCAAAACATAATATTCATTTACTTCTTTGGGGACTCTTGAATTTTAAAAAGTCCATTGTCATCCTAAGGTAGGAAGGACATAACCTTGTCTATGTTCGTAATATTTTATAAGTCTCTTTGATTACGTGGTAGTTCATCACTAGTAACTACCATGGTAGAGTTAAGCTAAACCATTTTTCCAACACGTGAATGACTCCTATTAGTAAAGTGATCCAAATCATCTCAAAAATACTTCCTTAAAGGAAGGCTAAACATTTGACCCAGGATTTTTATTCTTTTTAATTTTTAATCCTTTTTGAGAAACATAACAATCCCACTTGCCCCCTCCATACCTAAATACCTTAGGCCAGAGAATCCTTCTGTCTGCTGCAAAATCTAACTTGAGAAAAAATTTTTGTGGTGCTTTATTTCTACAGTTTAAGTTATGTAAACAATGGATATTCTTTCACTTTCTAAATACAAAATTATTGTATTGAATAGCTTTTTTAAAAAGCTACAGATATCAAAATTCTTGTTCTCACATAATGATCACTAATATTGTGTCTGTTTATTGACCAATGAGATTAATGCACTTTTTAAACACGCCACTGGCAAGGACATTTTTATTGTAGGTATGAAGAACTTTTAAAATATCCATACATTTTTGGAGGCACCTGGCTGACTCAATCCCTAAAGCACATGACTCTTGATCTTGGGGTCCTGAGTTCAAGCCCCATGTAGGGTATAGTGTTTACTTTAAATTTTTTTTAATCAGAAAAAAATATTCATACACTTTATTCAACTATTCTCTGTGTAGGCATCATTCAACGAAAGAAAGATTATGACAAAGATCAATAGACAGATAAATAGTAGCAAGAAATTGAAAATTGCCTTGAATTCTAGCAATAAGATGTTAAATTATGACATGAAACTATACTCTGGAATAATGGTCTGGAATATTCTGGACTCTGGAATATTATAGACAATCATTTTTGAAGAATATTTAATAGAATGTGAAATGATTACATTATAAAGTTAGGTGATTTTTCAAGATTGAAAACAGTAAACAATTCTTATTTTTGCTTTTCCTCTTTTCCTCTCTCTGGACACACACACACATACACACCCTGTTTATGTACCAAAATATCGATAGTGCTTTCCTTAGGATGGGGGGACTGGGATTGGTAATCTTTAATTTCTTCGTTATACTTTCGAGTTTTCCAAAAGTGTGATGACCATCAGCAGTAAAAAACACAGGTCATTTTCGAAGCCTGAAATGATCCTACGTTACGGATGAACTAGAACCTGCTTAGCGTTAGACTGGGAGAGGCAGTGAGGACACTGAGTTGTGCAAGTATCATATATAAGAAGGTTCTTGTACAGTCTGGAGAAAGCACAAGAGAGTTGTGACTTAAGACTAACGCACGCCGTGCCTATTCACAACCTACTTCGTTTTTACGGTAAATGCATAGCTGTGCTAATTCCCCCAAGTGCCTGGGCGTTAGGCCTCCTGTCACAAAATCTGCCCCGTTCTAGGAATCCCTCTCACGAGTCCTTTCCGGACCACTTCAAGCTAGGGCTCACCGCCTCCCAGAGCCGGGCGAGGGTTGCAACGGGCCTCCCCAGAACCCCAGAAAGAGCCCGCCCCGCCGGAAGCGAGACTCGAAGCTTTTCGGACCTCGCCTCCCCCACCTCCAGGCTGCAACTAGCCTCCAGGACCCTACCTCCTCCCCACCCTCTCAATTCCTAGAGACTCTGCGGATCCCGGAAATTTAATTGGCAGCTGGGGTAGGACTCTCTAGCAAGAGTTGAGAGGCATGGCCCACCGATCACCCCACTCCGCGAATGCACCCCTTCAGCTTTTAGCGGGCCCCTGGGCCTCGCCCCACACCCCAACTATTTCTTCAAGTAAGAGTTGATCAGAGTAACAGACCAGGGGTTACACGTAGAGCGGGAATGGGGCTTCACTAGATGGAGGAGGAAGTGGGGGCAGGCAGAGGCTGAGGTGGCCTCGTGGATTCAAGAGAGGTGCAAGGTAGGACCAAGGACGTCTCTTGGTCACCTCCCCAGCTTGGAACTAGCTAGCCCTTTTTTCTAGAGGGGAGGATCAGTGAATGGATCGGGTTGACTCGAGACACCGTGGGGAAAGTGTCCAAAACTTGGCAGCTTATCCCTTCCAAGCAAGGTGGTGACCAAAGACTATTGAAAAGGCCTCCTCCTCTTGGTTCCTCTGTCTGCGGTACAAGACCGTAAGGAGAATGACCCGTAGTATTTCCAGTGATGAAGAATTTGCCTGAAATTCTTCTCTCAACTGTTTTCTTCTCATAC